AAGAGCCAGTCACCACCCGCGTCCACATGTGCAACCGAAAGAAGAACTATTATCCTACCTTACATCCATGGAATCTCTGAAATGGCAGCGAGGCTTCTAATGCCTCACGGGATAACTGTTGCACACGAAGCAACGGAAACCATACGGAATAAACTTTTTAAGGTAAAGGACAGACTGTCTAAGAAAGAAACATCGGGTGTGGTTTACAAAATTTCCTGCAAGAACTGTGAGAAGTACTATGTAGGCCAGACTGGAAGAAAACTTGGCACGAGACTGCACGAACATAGTCTGGCCATCCGCCGCCACGATGAGAAATCCTTAATGTCGGTACACATGGATGCCGAGAACCATCAGTTTGATCTGGAGAACGTTGAAATACTTGGAAGAGCAAGAAACCGCAGAGCGCGTGAGTTCCTCGAGGCCTGGCATTCTGGCCGGAACTCAATCAACAAACACCTGGAGCTAGAGGGTGTCTATGAAGCTCTGCAGGTTAAGCCAGCGTTAGGCACCAGATCGACAAGAAGAAGAGGTGCCCACATGACGGACACGTGAACCGATCGAAGGCCGACATTCGAAGCAGGCAACAATCAATAGCCATTCAGATCTGGCATTGGTTTGCGAGACTCCGCGAATCAGCATCAAATAGCTGCACTGAAGATGTTACCTAGTTTGGTAACGAAACGTCTGCAACAGAAATGCCCAGCTCGGAGAACAGGACAATCTTTTCACACAACCCTCTCCTTTCATCAAAGCTAGTGTCAGCTAGAATAGCAATTACTCGCTTCAAACGTCGCCAGATGAATCTAACCATAATTTCTGTCTACGCACCAACCCTACCCTCAGCGGAGAAGACAAAAGACGAAGTTTACGCTACTCTACAGCGATGGTGAACCATGTTCTAAACACGGCATCTGGGGACTGGAATACACGATCCGGGCAGCGGAACGATCAGATTTGTCACATACTAGGGAGATAGCCCTTGGAGAGCGCTGTGATAATGGATACCGCTTGCTCAGCTTCGCTTGCCTTGATCGATTGTGCAAAACCAAAACTCGCTTCCAGCAACCCAGGAAGCATTCTCTGACGTGGTACTCCAATGATATCCGTACAGTTAGCCAAACGGATTCCTTCTTAATCCGAACCCGGTGGTTTTTTTCCTTCGATGACTATCGAGCCTACAGAGGGTCTCAAACGGGCAATGAAGATAGTTCGGATCACGTACTCCTGCGCAACAAATACAGACTCCGCTTGAAAACGCTCCGGAAGACCTTTCCTCTAAATCGTATCAACATTGTCTCACTGGAGAATACTGACTGCTGCCGAATCCTTGCGTCAGCAACAGAAGCAGACATTTTGCCAGTTCACCACGCTCCGTACTTGCATAAGATTTATCTGTGGATGCTCGTTGATCTAAGCTAAAATCGTCGGTTCGACGCCCTGCTTCATCTACCTTGGGCTCTACTTCTAAGCCTGTGCAGGACTGGAGATACCATCCGCTTGTCGGCTAAAGCGAGAAAAGCATGTCTCACAAATTCCCCAGACTACCGTCGCTTGCGGCGCAATGATCGCAACAGCTACTGGTCTGTTATCGCAGGCATAATGGAAGCTGCATCAATTTCTGACAATCTGGGTCATCTTTTTCGTCTGTTTAGCTTCCGACAAGCGCTGTTCACCACAGCCGGTATTGCGCAATTCGGATGGCCATAGTCAAGTCATTTACCCGAAACGCAGCACTAAAAATCTACCATTCATCCGGGAAACACCATTGTCTTTCACTATTTTTCCATTTCTCGCTGAGTGTCATCATACGTCCACTGGGTTCCTGTGGTCCTAGCGGAAGGGACGGAAAACCCTTGGATTTCTGTCTTCACATCCTCACAGTGGCCCGCTTGAGTGGACAGGAAATGTGGCTTCAGATAACTCGTACACATGATATACGCATCCCAATACACGTCGTTTCACGTGGGAACTTGAAACCTGCACGTGTCCGGACGAGCCGGAGGTGTGGCTTTCACGCCCGATTTGCACTCATTTCAATGTCTTGGCAATCTAAGTCACCAAGGCTGGATAGCTTGCGGCAACAAGCATGAGCCGCATTCACACTAATGATCAGACAGTGTAAGATCACCGGCGACGCGGCATGCTGTGTTATAAATATGAGATATCCAGACATCTCAAAAGGGTAGGTACGACTACCGATGCCAGATGTATACCTGTGTAAATAGATGGTCATTGAACCAGGTAAACGGGTGAACCGAATGTTTAAAACGCATTCTGGCTTGATCATAAGACGGCTTTGGCACATTGGGTAGGAAATCAGAGTTAGGACCAAGAGTACACGTAGTATGGGCCTAGTTGGGATGAAAGGCGCTCAAGTATGGCGTCACAATTCCTCTTACTTGGAGAACTGGGCGAATTGGGATCTATTCATTCCGATGCATGTGGCTGCGCGGAAAGCACATAAGTCCGACGGCGATAACAAATAGGCACACACTTTGTGTTTGGCAAGTCGAAAGTGGAAGGAGTTCGACAAGGAAGTATGTTATTGGAGCGGTCAATCGCCATGAATGACTGGATGCTAGGGGTGGACAACGTGGCCATCAGATGCGAGTGGAACGGCTTCTGCACTTCTTCTCATCGGTCATAGTCGTGCTTCAGCGACAGGTAGCATTTTCTGTTGACTGCCAGTATGATTTAGATGAGGTACTTACCATCCATATGCTTTTTAAATGGACTCTCGTGAATACAAGCTTTTTGAACGTGGCGGTTATCGCATGTGGGCGTCGCGCACTCCATCTCCCAGCTACTTGCTTCCTGTTCCCAGAGATGACCATACATCAGCTGCCATTAATTTTCATGCCAAATCCTCGACTCTTTCTACACCATAATCTTTGTGCTCTTTTTCTAACCGGGCATTCGCTATTGTCTGGCTGTGTTCCTCTTGAGTTTAACTTATGACTATTTACTCTCTTAAAAGCACAATAAGAAAACGAAAGCTGGTAGATGCATGCATTTCGTATAAACTCCCTAGTACCATTATGAATAACCAACTACCTTACAATGGGTGCGATTAAACAAGTTAAGGTGCGAAATGTTTGATCGAAGTGCAGCCTCTACGTTTGGGGAAGCCTTAGAATTGACGAATTATTCTTTCTGAACGCACATAGTTGACTTGGGGTGACCACCTCGACAAACCGAATGAAGCAGGGATTAGTGTAACACAACACCACTTTGAATCCTGAGTGTCTGTCTGTTGAGTAAGCCGGCGGCCTACGCGAGCACGGATTCCGGGCAACTCCACGCTGAGTCCATTTCGGCACATGTTCCTTCATTCTGGAAGTCAGAACCCTATCATTTCTGTTTATGTAACTGGCCCGCACGTACACATGAATAGCCATACCCACTGAGAATTGGCTCCAATAGACTGAGATTCCTTCCTTGTAGGGACGGGCGAACCTCGGGTTCGGTTGATCATAACGACTTACATAGCGTAGTATTTTCCCAGTGAGACCCAGATGATGCGCTTGCTTGTCTTCAATGTGTGGTAGGCAGCTCTGTATAAACCTTCTTCTTGGCTGACTTGTGCACTGACTCCCTCGGCCCTCGCAGTTGACTGTAGTTGTGAATAAAGTATGTTCCTCGATCAAACAGTCGGCCTACAGTTACGTCTGGAACGGCTAACCAAGGGCTTTCTGATCGTCCACTTGTGTGAAACTGTTGAAGTGCAAGTATGAGTGTACCAGGTTGTTTTTCGATAAAGAGGCTTCTCTACGACTGACGAGGATGCCCATGGTAGAAAATATTCCTACTCTACTTCGCAGGTAACCCGTAAGTTGGCTCACTAGGCGGTCTGCTAATTGCGCGCGCTGCTGATCCATTGTACAAACTGCCAAAATATCATTCACATAGCGCTTAGAGTATGGTATTTGGAATAGGAAAATCAGCGAAGACACAGCCTTGTGGGCTGTCCATTCCTACGCCCACGATTTGGCGGTACCGAATGTTCTGGAAACGAAAGCGAACATTTTCCGCGCGCAAAAGCATTGATTGTTTTAACAATTCGACCGAAATTGATAATGCTAGCAAGTATGCTTTGCCACTTCACCTACGTAGTCAACGCTTCTTTGTATCGGGACATTAGTGAACAAGGATTCCACATCCAAGGAGCACAATCTTGTCAGATTAGTTGATTTCATCCAGGTCCTCTGTGAGTTAAGATGAGGCATTAGCACTGTACGGATTGTTTCAGCGAAGAGCACCTTCATCAGCCAAAGGGTTAGTTTATGCTGAGAGGCGTTTACCACTGAGAGAATCGGCCTGATTGTCACTCCGCTCTTGGGTATTCTCGGTTGCCCATACAACTACGGAGTAGTGCTACCATTCGGCTACAAAATGTTAAAAGTGGCCCTGTCTATCACGCAATGAGGAAGACGAATTTCAACATGATGTATCGTTTCGATTTCTGCTGTCCCCTATTTTCTTGTGTTGTTTCAATTTACTTGTCTCGTTGAGTATGGTACACGCTTTCTGATCCTATTCGGCTTTGTACAGGATCATCACTCCAGAACCTTTATTGGGTTTCAATATGACCACGTTCTTACTATGTAATTCGCGTAAGGCTTGAAGGTGTCGGCCTAATTGGTACAGTTATAACTTCATGGGCGATATCAGTTAACTCGTCTCTGACCCAATTAAGCTTATCCGTACTTGTTGGTTGAAGTTCTTTAAGATGATCAAGAAGGTTCTCGAACTGAGCTTCTACAAACAGTCCGCTCAACTTTCTAGGTTGGATTTCGTATTTTATTTCAAATGACGAAGCTTCTAACTGCAGCGTGTCAAGTTGTGCGTTCGCTAAATTCATCACTTACTTTCTGAGATCACGAGCAAGTAGTTCCTCCTTTTCGTTGTTTACCATCAAATTTGCTCACTGCACTTCTCAACTTGTTGAAGGGAACGAATTGGTTTAAGTTTCCTAAGACGTTATTCGCTTTCTAATTCAGCACAACGCCCCTATACATGCGAGCAGTGTGGCAAGTCGTTTTCTGAAAATGCCAAACTGCAAAAACATCTCAGATCTTTACATTCGAGTAAGTTTAATTGATGGGATCAATTAACTTCTGTTTTGCTACTTCCTTCGTTTCGATCAGTCATGCTACTTGCAGCAGATCCCCATTTTGTTCTTGTCATAGTCCGCCGAATCTTCAGTTTTTCACATCATCCGCTCCCCTTATTGGCCTGTAGTATGTCGGTCCTTTGATTCAGCCACAGTCCCTGTGACCAGACTGATGGAGGTTCACTTTTAATTAGTTAACACTCCAATTATAATTGCCCCACGTCACACATCTGCCACTCCAAACGAGCCAACAGCAATTCCCTTAACACTGGGGCGCTAGTCCACCCTGGAATCCGGTAGTGCATTGTTGAAGATATCTGTCTGCAATTTCTACTTTTGCCGTTGGAGTCCGATTTCCATTGTCACTAGCGAAGCTCGTGAAGAAGCACTCAACCGGGAACGGGCAAAAACAAACCTTTAACCACCTCAAATTGATTCATATTTTCATACCGCACGATCCGTTGCTAGAAGAAACCAGAATAAATCATTCCATCGCACGATTGCGCATCTTACAACCAGCTGAACTTAACTTCCTCACTAGTTATCGGTCGCATCTTCCTCCTGCTTTGCCTGAATTAGTGGGCAGCCACACGTCATCTTTACCTACACAAGAACCATAAATAGCTATCACTTCATCGACAAATTCGTTGCATAGTGACAGGCTTTATGCGAATGAGAATCATGGCTCCTGCGCTCCTTCGACACGCACAAACTTCTTGATTCTCCAGTACAAGCTTACCTAGAACAGTGGCCTGGCCCCTAGTTAACCACATTGCACAGCTTGCCCCTATATTCTGTTCATTGTCATGAAGCTTACGTCCATTTTCACTGTTTTTAAACAGCCGAACTTAAGTATCTCCTTTTAACTACCGCATAGATTACGTGCGCCAGCGTTTCAGCCTTCACTTATGGGCAGAGGTAAGACCCCCTCAACTTTAGCCACCTCTGATTACGCACCTTCTTCTGGCCGTAAATCAAAGGTCTTTGGAATGCAGATGGCTCAAAATGTCTAACGATACATCGCGCAATCGAATTCAGTGGTTGTTTATTTTGTGATTCAATCCCTACCAAACGTTGTGTGGACAATTGAAGAACATTTGGTTCCATCTTTCATAACGATTACACTTGCCATTCCTCTTATCATTGTCCATATCTAGCGCATCCATACGTCGTATCTCACTCGGGAATACGCATCAAGCATGTGACAGCACTTTTGCGCACTTCCGTTTGTCTTAACTCCAATGAATGTGCCTCACCTGTACTAGATTTTCTGTTACACTAGGTCGGGCTTTGAAAGGAAGGTGGAAACATCATCCCTTAGATGTGCACCATTTTACTCATTCTGGGTATCCCTCATGTCTTCGACATGGACTCGAATTAACAGCATCTTTGAAGCACATGGCTATGTGCAATGCAGCAATCTCTTGACGTATGATTACCAGCAATCCCTCCCTCGGTTCAGATCACGCTCTGGTCTGAGCGGACATCTGCATGTGCTTTGGAACTTCTTCGAAATCCAAAAACCAACAGGCTAGCTAACTACTCTGTTTAACTGGCATCTCGGTCTTCCTCATAAAATGCGTTCCTTATTGCTCCGCCTCAGGACATCGAACATCACTGGAGTTTCTCTGGAAGGCGTTGCTTTCTGCACCTCATTCTGTGAAATCACTGGTCGCCCTTTCATGTGCTGAATTTCTGCTCACCCACTTTAGTTGTTTGACTCGCCAGTTGAATCAAATAGTGTGAAGTCCATCAGAGCCTCAGACAATACGTGTCTATCGATCGCGAAAATTGGTGAGCTCAGCACGCTTCATAGATGGAGACAGCACCTGTCACTGGAAATCTCCGTAGGCTTTCCTTGTTCATAAGGGGTCCCGTGCTCTATGCGCCGACGACGGAGGAATCAGTCCAATCTCCCTCGCCAGCAAAGTGTAAACATCCTATATATTCCACAGACTAATTCCGATTCGAGAGCTGCACTCCCGTGAACCGACTATTTTCCGCACCCCCATTTACGCTCCACCAACTTCTCGATCAGCGTCACCTTTACCACCAGCCTACCACTGTCGCCTTTTTTTGGACATCCGAGCTGTGTTTGACGCAGTCGATAGGTATGATTTATGGCGTTGTCTGCAAAAGAATGAAATGTGCGAAATGCATACCGCGATCCTTCGAGCTTCAGACAGCTAAATCTCGAGCTGAGTGAGGGCTTGCGATAAGATCTCTTTATCTTTCGCAGTTACTGGTGGTGTATGATAGGGATGTCCTATGTTCCCGTTTGTCTTTATTTTTGCGGTGGAGTATCCTTTACTGGGCACTATGGATGTTTTCAGGATTCTGGCGTAAAGCTACTGCCAGGAATCCGCTCCACTGACTTTTACTACGCTGACGTTATTGCCTTGCCTGGTGAACACCCGCAGAGTTTGCGAGTCATTTTAATTCGCTTTGCGGTTGAAGCTATCAAGTACAGCACGAGCTTTGCCCCCACGAAATGCGTGATTAGCATCTACGGGCTCCAGTGCTTGCTCTTTAAAGCACGCAGCCTGGGCGAGTTGACACCATTGTCTACCGGGGGAGCTGCGTTTCTGCTGGTAGCAATATTGGAAGGGAGACTTCTCCTAAAGCTAACCTGCCATCAGCTTTCGCTTACGCCTTGGCATCTGCGGTGTTGTCGTTTCTGTAAACAACGACAACCACTGTGTTCGCGTGGAATTCTTGTACTGAAATGTGTCCCGACCGATCACTGTAAATGCCATGCGTCGGATTACGGCTTTTGAAAGTAGTTGTCTGCGGAGAAATACTCGTCTGTGCCGGAAACACCAGGTTTGCAACGAGGATGTCAGACTTCGCATCTTAGGCAATATAGACCTCCCCTCGACATTCTTGTTCCGATGCGCCAGCCGAGATGGATGGATCACTTCCTGCTCAGCCGTGCGTGCAGCCACCACGGCACTCTGTTCGCTCACACAGGGTCGCATTGTAATGAATCGCGTGGTAGTCAACATACCGCATAGCGAGCAAACTTTGTGCCACTTACTTCCAGTCAAAATTTTGTCCGTCCCGTACATCCTCAGGGTGGAGAAACTAGGGATTCAATCCACTGCTTGCTAGAAACCTTTGAGGACCTGACCGGAAATCGGATACATAGAGCAATTTTTTCTGAAATAATGCATTGATTCTACAGATCAAAACTATCATATATATATATATATATATATATATATATATATATATATATATATGCCATGGTACTGGAAGCACATGAACGATGCTTGCTTGCTTACTTGCCATCTGCTGTTTGCCTATGTACAGCGTAGCTCACCTTGTTCTTGTTTTGGTTACGGTTAATGGTTAAAATCTGAACATAGAAAAGGAACTAACATTGTTTTTCTAAAATAATGATTATGGATAGAAGGGAAACAAGCTATTATCACATTTATGATCAAGCATGTTTTTTTAGCCATCCATAACATGAAGTCGACTAAAGTTTGTCTGCAAAAGCGGTAGACTAACTTAAGACGGAAGCTCAGTTTGTTTTCTTTCCTCGGTTTCTTTGGACACCTAGGAACTGCGAGGTAGGCGGGCTAAGGAAATAAAATTAAATAGGCCAAGAGTTCTTTTTATGTCATCATTTGTTATTATTTGTTACATGTTGCACTCAGCGTCTTAGTTCTCATGTACACTGTAATGTACCCTTACATTTCTCTCGTAAACGGTTCAATCCATCTAATGTTTTCTGACGGATTTTTCCATATTTTTGAACACAATATCAGTAAAATTTCTACTCTGTCCTATGCGGCTCATCGGTATACGAAATTTCATCGCATTGTTTTTACTGATACCGTTCATTATTTTTGATGGCTCAATACAGTTACAGTACGTTTTTGTCGTTTTCTGTGAATTGGTTTTGGTCACATACGTTGGACACTAGCCATGTTACCATGGGTTTTCTAATGCTTACATATCAGAATTTATGAAATAATTTTGTGCGCAGCATCCGAGCAAAGCTTTAAATCAAATCTGGATAAAGCAAGGGGATTGCTTTTCAAAATTAATTGGTTGTTACCACGTTGCAAAAAATTTTCTTAACAAGTCACGCACGATCGTGACTTTATCTGTATACGTTTACCTTCAAATGCGGAATGGGGATCCATGAAAGGAGGGAAGGAAGATCATTGGTTACGGTGTTGTACGAACAGACGATGATATTCTGCGGCTACCCATTCCGAGGGATTAGTGTTTTTCAAATTTGGGCAGCCTGACACGGACTACTATGGAACTCGGAAGGCTACATACTGCGGCAATATGTGGACGGCGCTTGTGTCGGCTGTCGCTCTCGTACTTAGCTCTTTTACTCCCCACTATACACTAACCCTTTCTTCGTACGTGTTAATGTAGTCAGTCATTTAGTCATCGCATCTGTTCAGCCGGCCGGTGGCCGAGTGGTCTGCGCACCTGGTTTGCAACCATAAGGTCCCCGGTTCGAATCCGCGTAGGGGTCGGCGTCCTCGCGGTATACTCAGCCCGCGCGCGACTGGTGGTGTTCGCGCGGCAGCGAAGCGCCGTCACGGCGTACAACTGGCACATTATTATTCTTTTTATTATTCCTCTCCTTCGGGTACCGCAACTTGGATTTCATGCACACCTTAAGATGGACAGCTCTTTGATGTTCCGCGCACAGCCTTTCGTTTTGGCAATGCATTCGCCTGCGATTCGCAATGGGTTTGAAGCGACTCATTTTCGAGTAGGGTTATGGCACTGTGTACTGTCTGTTGTGCATTAGTGCCAGCTTCAGATGGTCATGGGCTATAGCACGTGGTGTGAATGTGACGGAGTATCGTCAAAGTGCTTTTTGAAAAGGGATAGGGTGGGAGCATTAATTAAATGTTCCAGGAGGGCGTTCCAAGGCTGTGACACTCGAAAACGTTTCGCCGACGTTCCAGTCGGATGTACTGCGTGACCAGCTTAAACTTGTGACCTGTTAGCGGGGTGTTTTGACTGCGGATCAAAATGGAATAGCATGGGTGCTTGGGGTTTCTCAGGATCTGGTACACCGTTATGAGATCGCCCCTTAGACGCCGATAACGTCCACTGTATATTTTGAGAGTCTTCAGCCTGAGTGGGTAGAGGAGGCTGGTCAAATCTCTGACGCTCTTCGTTGCCCTACGTTGTGCAGTATCGAGCGCGGTGAGATTGTGCTTGAGCCAGGGTTGCCACGCTTGGATAGCGTATTCCGCGTGCGGCCTCACGTACGCACTAAGCATTTTTGGAAAGATCGAAGGGTCAAACTTCCCGAAGGCTCTGCGAAGAAGGCCGAGGTACTGGTTCGCTTTCTTAGTTGCCTTTTCAGTCTGCCTGGAACAACCGAGGTCATCTTGAACTATTACGCCGAGATCGCACTCGTGAGAAGCCCGCTGTAGAATTTGTGGTCCTAGGCGGTACTTGTATGTACTCTTGTGCCGTATGCTGAGAACTTTGCACTTGGTGACGTTGAAATGCAGCATGTTCTCGAGGGACCATGTGAACGCTTTGTTCAGGTTGTCCTGTAACACTGTGTGATCCTCCACTGCAGCTATAATACGCCATACCTTTAGATCATCAGCAAATAGCAAACAGTTAGAAGGTAGCACGCTCGCGAGATCATTTATGAAAACCAGGAACATGTGGGGTCCAAGTACCGAGCTTTGAGGTACGCCTCACTGAACTTTTTTGGATTCCGATAAGTTGCTCGAACCCTCATATGCAGATGACGTTGCACGAGAAAGTCTCCTATCCAGCCCAGAACAGGATCGCCGATCCCATATTTCTGGAGTTTGTGGAGGAGAATGCGATGGTCTATACGGTTGAATGCCTTTGCGAAATCCAAGTAGGCCGCGTCGACTCCTTCACCAGCGTCCACAGATTCCGTTCAGCTTGCAGGAGCAATCAATAGATTAGTGGTACAGGACCGATTTTGTTGAAATCCGTGCTGCTCTGTAACGAAAATTCCCTTGTTCTCCAGGTGCCTCATCAAAGTTTCTGCTACAACGGACTACATAAGCTTTGAGATCACAGGAGATAGTGCTATCGGGCGATAATTTGTTGGTTCAGCACGGTTGCCACTTTTGTAGATTGGCGTGATGATTCCGTATTTCCACATCGTGGGGACGTGCATTTTGTTCAGACATCATTGAAAGCGAATTTGCTAGTGCCGCAACCAAACTCATGGTAGCAACTTTCAACGCCTTCGGGCGAATGTCGTCCGCACCCGGGGAGCTGAACTCGCGCAGACAGCCCCTTCAGTACAGCTGCGGAGGTAAACAATATGCGATTAAGCCCTGATGGCGGCATTATCTGCTTAGGCAGGATGTATGATGATTGCACGCTTTGAAGTTACGGCCAAATTGTTGCCAAGCACCCTGGTCGCCTCTTGTGCGGTTTGGGCTAATCCGCATGCTGTGTGCAGAGCAGGAATACCGCGCTTAACGCGGCACAAATTGTTTACATGTCTGTATAGCAGTTTGGGTATGGAGCAAAACTTATCCACTAGACTTTGTTGGTTCTTCAGTTTATCCCCTCGGACGTACACACACACACGCATGCACGCACGAGGCGGTTCTGGCACAACGTATCACTCGTTCCCTCTGTGGTTTTAGCTATCCAGTTTGGAATCGATCCACTTGTCTGCGTGGGCGCGTAGAGCGACGTAAAGGAATTTGTTGCGGTGATGCAGAATCAGCCACATGTGAATCGATCAGTTCTGATGTTTGCACTTCCGACTCACCGGTCGTTGCTGAGGTTGTTTTTCTCGGTCACACGTAGTAATAGTGACGTCTGACAATTCCGCCATCCTCAGTTTCTACTACAATGATTTGCCCGTTTGCTGTTTTAACAATGGCTGGTTACCATCCGGAATCTGTAGTTAAGCGGACATAGATGGGACCAGATTCTTCTACGTGTCTGTTTCCCCGGAAGTGAACCGACCACTGGTTGGTTCGGCGGAGCTATACGCCAACTGGCATGTCCTCAGGCTTGCAGATCGAGGAATGCCTTCCTTACGAAAGTAACAATGAATAAGTCTCGGCTGTTCGCAGGCGAGGTGAATAAGCAGTCGCGCACAATCTACGGAAACATCTAGGTGTGCGGGGGGGTTCGGGCTAGTCAACTGGTTCTTCATTATATACCACAAGAGGTCGTAAGACACTGTTTCAAAGCCAAAATGACCGGCTATAGGGTCACTGACCCTTACTTCTGGTTGCAGAAGTGAATACTTAACGGATGGCGGATGAACAACCTCGATGGCCACAGGCTTCTATGAAGGTGTATGAGCCACCCGGCTGTCAAAGACGTTTATGCTTCATGGCGAGTTCGGTAGTCCAGGGAATCCTAGTCTTGCTGCTTCACTGGGGCGCCCTGTGTAGATTGCCTCAACTCGAAAGTCGCTTTATCCTCGCCTAGATAGCCGGCTTCCAACGGTTTGCGGTATACGTCAATCACACCGGTGCCTTGTAGGTTAGGTCTTTTATGACCCAAGGCTCCTGGTGCAGTCTCCTAAGTCACCCCTCTTCCTCGGCCTGAGTAACCGGGAACTACTATGCCCACAACCTATGAATCCACGTCTCAACAATTCTTCGCTCACTCTATCTGCTCTCATTCTCTCGAACAGTTCTCCTCGGCCCAGGGGCTGTTGGCTGAACGTGCCAAAGCCCATTTTACTGTACCACCGTTTAATCACTTTATTTCACGTTTGTTCAACTCCTCGTTCTTGGTCTTTCCCTTCTGTTTTCGAGTTCACAACACCGTGCCACCTTGGCCGAACCTTCTCCACGTACGGATAAGAAGCATAGGTCCAAGGGTGCGCCAAGTCGTATTGACAAGCCATTGCTAATGCTTGGTTCCCAATTCAAGCTGGCAACTTTTAATTTTCAGACGCTGATGCAGATTTGATTACAGACTGGCTTTGCTCGCACTCTAGAAACTACAGACATTGATGTCTGTTGTCTCAGCGAGGACCGTCTGCAGGACTTTGGTCCGACGCTGCGACTAGTTCCACCGTCTGCCAGCTCCACTGGCATCTTCATTTTGCGTCCATCTGGAGACTTAACCACCGAATACCCTGTTTACGCTAGCGTGGGGATTGCGTTAAGCACACGTACCGAGAACGCGCTACTAGACTGGATCTTGTAAAAAATCAACTATGCGCGATACGACATAAAACCTCAGTGTGACTATCCAGCCGTGAATCCAACAGACGCTGTTCGTTCATTATCGCAGCGTACGTTCCGACAGATTGCAGCCCAGAGTCAGTTAATGAGGAGTTCTATGGTCAACTTGCCAATCTGCTCCTTAAAATCGCCGCACCGACATCGTGGTGCTCACCAAGGACGTGAACGCGCAGGTCGGAAGATTGGCAATTGATTTACATGAACTCGGGGGTCAACACTTTCATTGCACTCCCAGAGCTTTCGGGGTTCCCGGTTTGTCTGATTTCGATTGTCCCTAATCGAAGAAATACTCAACCGAAAATGGGTAACATCGAGCGTTCCCCAACCTCAAATTGATTTAAGAATTAATGCAACGTGGGTCATCCATCACGGACTCGTTGTTAAAACTCAGCGTACGACTGCCGGTCTTACATTTGGTCAAATTCAGTTTCTTCACTAGGTGTCGGTAGTATCTGATTCGTCTTTTTGTACATCCACATGACGTCTCCATCTACACACGGACTTTGGGTGCAATGACCAGACGCACCTCGCAATCGAGAGTGAACTATTATTACAGTTATAATTATATTATTATTACAACATCGTGAAAAACGTTTCTGTCATTTAAGATTGCTTGCTATTCTATTGTAGAAGTTGGCCGCTCAGCTTCGAATGATAACACAGTTGCACAAGTGGAATCGAAGCAGAAGGGAAACGTGCAAGTCTCCTCGTGATGTGGCGATGGCCTGCAATACATGAGGTGTTCTTGGAATGCTGTTCGTCAGTACCGTGAGCTCCGAATGTGAATGAATACATGCGGAAACGCAACGTTTACGTGCACTTGGCTCTTTACGAACACATTGGCAGACGGAGAATGATGGACCCCATGAATACGCCTACAGTCCTCCGTTGTGGAACAAACTCTCACTTTGAATTTGTCTCACAGAGGAATGTTTTTGTCAACACTTTTGATGCATTTACATATTTGTGTCTAATTTTACTGGTATATACTATTAGGGTCCTTTGATTTATGTGCGTTCGTGTTGTTCCCAGGAATGGTTTTATCCATGGATGGATGGTGTGGTGCATATCAAAGGCTAAGTTTTGGCGATTGTCTGGTTTAATTGCATAAACTCCGTGAGAGACGTTGGCAACAATCTGTTCCGCTTTATTTGTGAGTTCATTCTTATACATGTATGGTTGCTGGCATCTACTTCTGTATTTGTCTGTCTCAGTGGCCTCCATGGAGACAGCCACATGAGACAGGCGTCCAATTAGACGAATAAACTTTGAAGGGCATCCAAACTTCGCAATGCCTGACAGATTCCCGCACTGACATTTCAGAAGTTTTTGCTGGTCTTTTGTTGCCTACCTTCTATTCGTCGAATCAACATGCTGGTTTTTTGCAGTCGGATGCTTTTTCATATCCTTTGCATTGCATCGCAGTCATTGATGTTCGCACATGTTACTGCCTAGCTTCCTACCCACATTGCAACTAACTTCACAGATCTACTCGACACGATTCTAGCTGATGCAAATCACGATAATCTCAAAGCCGCCGTTTTGAAGCGCACCACGCCTTCCGACAACAACTGACAACTTCCTTGCAATATTGAATTAGGTGCTCGCACACCATGACAACTACTCAGACACATGCGTATATTGGTCGGTTCCACGAAGATCGACGGCACTATTCTGCAACAGCTGTTGACGGGATGTCTTCCAGCGGACGCCTCTTCTTGCTGTATTTACGGATTATCTCTCATTGATCGGGTTAGCCGAAACAGCCGATGAAATTCGTGACTACTTCTTTAAAAACGCACTGTCCCTCTGTCTAATTAACGGCCAATGTCACTAGTAAGGATGACTCCTTTGAATCGATTTACGATACACTATCGAAGCTGGAGCTCGCTATTTCGGGTATGAATCGTCCCCGTGGTAGAAGGTCCATACAAGTCAAATCAAGGTAAGCTTTATACGCCCGCATGGGAGCATTTTCAACAATTTACACTAATACTGCGGACACACTACAACATAGAATCGGTGGGGAAATGATGTGCATTGACACGAACCACAAAGAGAGTTCATTTTCACGCAAGCAATCGTTCTCGCAGTTGTTGCGTCATAACTTTTCGGTAGCTTTTTCAAACGGGAGAGATAAGGCAAGACTAAGGTATCATAAGAAAAGTTACGTGAAAACAAAAACTTAAGATTCGGCTGAGTGGAACAGATTGATGCCGTACTTGCTAAAACAGCGTGCACGGGATCGGAGCGGTCTTTTAGAATCTTAAATAAGTTACAACGTGCATCGAAATGCTTGCAGTTCACAAAATTAACGAGTGATCCTCTGTTTAACTAGGCACATCTGGAATGTATATTTTATTAATTGAACAATGAAAGTATAATATTTTTGAAAAAGTCCGGGGAAAATAACGGAGCAGTACAACCAGTGAGAATACATGCATTTACAAACCGTAGAATTAGGGCACACGGTACGAAGAATAAAAAGATAGTATTCCGGCTTTCTGCAGGGTTTCAAGGATAGGTGCCGACCAGGATAAATTATAGAAAAAGATCACTGAGAACTTTACGTAATCTAAGCGATGGGTGCTTTGGTCACTCACAACCAAATGAAGAGCGGCGTTTAAAAAACAGCGCATTCTGTCGGGGCGAAGAAAAGAGAATATGATATCACAACACTTGGAAGGGTTAAGGGAGCGGAAGTTTGACCAAATCGAAGTTCGAACTACAATCCTCGACCAAGGTGGGACACTGCCTTCGAACACTTCGCTGGAACTGGGTACGCCAGAATCATGCAGCTGGCACCACGATGATGTAGTTAGGCAAGGCAGCCGCATACGTAACTGCGATTGCTCAGTATTTGGTAAACTAATATGAAGTCTCCACATAGCCACCGGTAGCGTCCACGGAACACTCCTAGTGTCTTCAATCGTTGCACAATCGCTTGACAAACTTCGTTGCTCGAGTTTGGGGAGTTTGGAGTGCTGCAAGATTACGCTTTAGAAAAAGATGTCAAGCGTGGATTGCGTACTCGACGTGTGGACGTACGTAGGCTTTGGTCGTCACAGAGCATATACATGAATCCAAATCACCGATTACCCTCCGCAAGTGACTAACATGCTGGTTACCTCTTTTTGAAGCGGATTCTGACTGTCTGGAACAACCGAGATCGTCCTGCACCAGCACACCGAGGTTATTTTCTTGGGAGTATGTCTGTAGATTGTGGGTCCCAGGTAGATAGAAGTAGCCATGTCAATGGCAAACGTGGACCATACGGTACTTACCCACATTGAATGGCAGTGCATTCCTCATCGATCAACTCCAGCCCTCACCGAGTTCGCGCTGGTGTGATTGGTCATTTCCTTGATCACTCTTCAAACTTTAAAGTCGTCCGCAAAGAGTAAAAATTTTGAGGCGATAATTCTCACTAGATCATTATTGAAAAGTATAAACCAGCGAGTGCCAAGCACCGAACCCTGCGGTACACCGCATTGCACTCAAATCGGTTCTAACTGAGATGTTCGGACTCTAACCTTCGCGGAGAATGTTACCCATTCATCTTAATTCTGGATCTCGGATGCTGTATTGCTGAACTTTGTGCAGCACGATTCCATGATCCAGGCGACCTAAGGCTTTCGAAAAGTCCATGTAGAAGGCATTCACCCCTGTCCTCTCGTCCGCTGTTTCGGTCCAATTAGCACGTGTCTCATCAGATCCGTGGTACACGATCGATATTGACGAACCCCGTGCTCTTCCGGCGCAATGATGTTGCAACTTTCTATGTAACGCATCAGTTCGTCCGCGATGATCGCCTTCATGACTTTGGCGGGCAAAGGGAGAAGTGTTGCCGGGCGGTAATTGACAGGATTCGATCGGCTTATTCCATTGTGAATGGGTGTTATAATACCCTGTTTTCAAGTTGACGAAACTGTTTTTCTCTACACCTTTTCCCGATTTATTGCATCCATAGTGCAATTGAATTGCACCCCAACGCTTTGATTTGCATCTTTAAGCCGATTGAACATGGTC